GCAATATCTTTAGGGAAACGAAAATCTGTTTTTAAGAGCCTTAGACGCATCATTTTCGATTATACTCGACGGTTCTATGTGTTGAGTGTTGAGGCGTGATGAGTGAAGTAGGTTACGTATGTATCTGATGTTTTCGTTCCATCATAATCCGTAAACTTCCTTTGTTTCGGTTCTTTGATGCAAACCTCAAGGAGAACATCCTATTCAGCAGTAGCACACTTACGGTTTTGTGTTAATGGTTTCTTATAAATTGTCAAAATCCGTCTTATTTTCTTATATTGCATACAAAGTGGATAAATAAATGTTTGCAATGCAAATAATAGTTTTATTACCTCGGTTATTCCAGCAGGATATGCGTAGAATAGTGACTCAGCATATCGAATCGCAACTAATCGTTGCATTCAAATCTCTGACGCTTGTCGGAGACTGTAGATCATACAGGATGGATATAATCTGGTACTACCTCTACAGGGTAAAATCTGTAATGACACATTCGACCAAAACCTTTTGAATTCCCCCTCCCTTAATTTGTGTCTGGATCCGCCCCTGGGTACCTCAGGGAGATGCGAGTATTTTTCTCACAAAAAAAACTATAGCATAAGATTGTATTAAATATGTGTGGAATTCGTGTATGTACAGAAATACTTCAGTAATACGCAAGGGAAGTTAGTCATGATAAGCTTTATCTGTATATTGGTGTAGAAAGATTGACTATTTTTCTTTGGCTGAGGTAAGGAATCGTATTCGGGGAGGCCCGAGCTTTGCAGTCGACTTGGAACTGCGCAAGTGAAACGAGTCAAATGGGCCGCATCCAATTCGCATTTGTTTGTTTGTTTGTTTTTTACAAAGTTCGCGTAACCTGCCTACCGTAACGCGTGCTTAACTTTTTGCATCCCACCTGTTACACAGCGCATTACGTGTCTGTGGCAGTCCTGCGTTCGCATCGGGTGTCACGAAAAAACAATGGCGTGCGGGTGGGCGGGGCGGGTTGGAGCGCCCGCCGAGAGCGGGTCAGTGTGCCTCCCATGAGCCGTGGCCCCGTTGCGTCACAGTCTGACGCAAGCGCTTTCTCCCCTCGAGAACCAGGGAAATAAACCTCACAAGCATCGCGACATTATAGTCGTGTGTTAAAATACATCGCGACTTTTTAATCATACGTAATTGATCGACCCCAAAGACGGATCGAACCTATATTTATCCTAAAGATGAATGGAACGATTTCACCGCACAAAACCGTAGTTTGCTCTCAGAGGAAGTAACTACATCTAGAAATTGTAATCTCATCACCAGTAAGAAGAACCCGTCTACAATTTAACTGTTGCTGAATGTACAGTTCTTACATCTCCCGAGAATTTCTACTCAACAGCTTAGCAGGCAAAGCAATACGGTGATTTCCACCTCTTGTAGTAAAAGCAATTCAACCGGCGCTCTCTCTTCAGGAAGTGTTACCGGCTTCTCCGTCTACCAGACCTCCGCGATCTTCTCTTACACGTAAGAATATATTTTCTCAAGCAGAAACAAAACATGGCTATTGCTAATAAATAAATAAGATTTTGAAGGTCTCTCACTATATATATAGTGAGAAATTGATTTCAAACATATTACAACAAATGAAATTCAGACACTGAATGTAATTAATTTTTAATATTACTATAAATTCTTTGATAATAATAAAAAACATGAAACGTGAAATTTCTCCGAATTTCACATAAAACCCATTATCATCCGTTGCTCGGGTATGTAGTCAATAAGGAGAAATCGCACATGCTTCATACGAAAAAATGAAAGTTCTGTCGGCTGCGATAGCGTCTTTTACAATTGTTAGCATCGTATTCTTGTAAGAAATTTTAGGGAAGTGTTAATCTCGAATTGGAACATAATTATGATTTATTAAGACGGGGGACAAAACTATTTTACAATTAAAGTTGTGTCTACGATAATGAAGGAAGTTCTTTGTGTACTCATGTATATCAACAAAGAAACTTATTGTACAAAAAGCTCGTGAAGAACAAACACGATTGTATAATGGTGACGATGAATCCATTAAAACTCACGTTTGGTATGCAGTCATACTTTGCATCACGAAGTACTGCAAGTAATTACGTGACATACAAGAAGCGGCCTTCAACACCAAAAGAACATAAACGTGCACGTGCAGTCGTGAAGATACGAACAATAAGAATTTACTAAATATTTTGTCGAAACAATAGCAAATGCGATTTTTACTAGCATTCTTTTCGTTTACCTCTAAAGCATTGCCCATTCCATACCCAAAGTAAACCATACACCGTACAAAACATAATTGTCTTAAGTGGTGAATGATTTGGAATTAATTCATAATTATAATCAAACGTGTATTTATTTATTTATTTATTTATTTATTTATTTATTTATTTATTTATTTATTTACTTACTTATTTATTTATTTATTTATTTATTTGTATATGATAAACGTCATTTATGAATATTTATTAACTCGTAAACTAACTCACGATTTATTTAATATCTAACATATTTTTAATTATCTCATTACACCGAGAAAAGGAAGGAATTTGGTGTAATTTTTTACGGTGTTGCGAAAATCTTAATCGGGTAGATTAATAGACTTTGATTAATGAAGACTCAATAGATACTTGGTAATTTTACGGGATTTACTAAAATGCGAGGATTTTATGTACACAAACGTTTGCAGTATGATGGATTACTCAGAGAAAATAATGTTGAAATCAAATCTTTACGAAGACATAGAGACCGCTTTTCCCTTTTGAGAAAATATCTTTAGTGTACTACCTAATCATATCATTGATCAAAGAATTCATTCATGATGGTGTCGCGCCGTACTTTTTAGGAAAACATTACTTCTTCAATGAATAATAAAAGAACGTAAAAATGTATCATGTTGACCGTGTAAAATATATTCTAGGCTACATTTTTATATAATAATGTATAAGTATGATTATTGACGTTTGGAGAGGGATGAAGTTGGCATCAATGTCCAAAACCAACGAAGGCAATATCGGCGGGCTAGGTAGACTCGATGAGCTAAGAGTCCTGATCCAAAAGTGTGTGGTTAAAAGAAAATTAATCGTGTAATTATAATTAGCCGTTACCACTCTCAACCCAGAGTACTGACGATGTGCTCCTCGCCTTTCAACTGAAAGCGTGTACTTCGTGAGTCTCGAACCTCGTTTCCTTTCTGAGAGATGGAGGGGGGGGGGGGCGTTTCCTTGCTGAGGGTTCTTGCCTCGGGCAGCCACTCGCTCGAACACGGCACTCCACTCGGCTCGTTTCAACAGCAACCTTTCGCTGAAAGCACGTCATTGTATTGCCTCTCTCGTCTCTCTCTCTCTCTCTCTCTCTCTCTCTCTCTCTCTCTCTCCTCTCTCTCTCCTCTCTTTCTCTCTCCTCTCGTTTCTCTCTCCTCTCTTTCTCTCTCTCTCTTCTCTCTCTTCTCTTTCTCTCTCCTCTCCTTCTCTCTCCTCTCTTTCTCTCTCCTCTCTTTCTCTCTCCTCTCTTTCTCTCTCCTCTCTTTCTCTCTCCTCTCTTTCTCTCTCCTCTCTTTTCTCTCCTCTCTTTCTCTTCTCCTCTTTCTCTCTCCTTCTCTTTCTCTCCCTCTCTTCTCTCTCCTCTCTCTCTCTCTCCTCTCTCTCTCCTCTCCTTTCTCTCTCCTCTCTTTTCTCTCTCTCTCTTTCTCTTCTCCTCTCTTCTCTCTCCCTCTCTTTCTCTCTCCTCTCTTCTCTCTCCTCTCTTTCTCTCTCCTCTCTTTCTCTCTCCTCTCTTTCTCTCTCCTCTCTTTCCTTCTCCTCTCTTTCTCTGTCTTCTTTCTTTTTCTCTCTTTCTCTCTCTCGGCTATTGTCTCTCTCTCTCCTCTCACTTCTCTCTCTCGCACCCAATGCAACGTTTTTACCCAATTCTCTTCTGACTTGCTGTCAGGCGCAAATTCATATTGCCATGATAACCAACCGAAGACTAGCGGTTACCAGAAGTAGCATAGACACTTACTGTAGAAACTGTAGATGTGGAAATGGAAACAACTAAATAAATAGATCGAATTTGTATACTAATTTAAATACATTTGATGCAAAAAAGATCACCCACTATTCTTTAATATCCTAATCTGAAAGGAAAGGTTTGAGTTATCAACTTATCAGCATACGATACTGGAGGTAAAAGAATAATGAAGCCGAATTTGAATATTGAATTGCTAGCCATGTACTCTGTGATCACAAAAATGCATAATTAATTTTTCGTAATAATGTTACTGTTTTATCGACATAACGCAACAAACTGAGGAGCGAAAAGTCATTGGTAACGTCCATCGTCCGTTGATTAACAATTCAGAAAGAGAATAGAAATAATTTGGCAGCTCAAGGGGGGTTACGAGTAGTAATTCGCAAAAAAATGGGTATTTCTTATTTATGTACATTTTCATAAAAGACGAAGAGTATTGCGAAAAAGTATTGAACGACAGATGACCAATATAACATAAAGGACTTACATTTTATAACCTGGACTATCGCCTTAGTTGACAAATTTCAGCGGTGTCTATTTCTTGCTATCAGCCAAATGACTTTATTTAGTTAACAGTGTGTGACGTACGACAGAGAGAAAAAATAATTATAATAAACGTATAGATACATAATGGAAAATACATGATATTAATATAAGTATATTATATATAATATATATTATAATTATAATTATTAATTATATAAATATATATATAATTAGTTTGTATTTACTTACTAGTAATCTCCAACCACTGTGGCTTAGTTGCAATGAAAATCAAACCATGTCCACATCATCTGTGATGAAATTTGACGCAGTATATTAAATCGATTGTCTTAACTGTAACAAGGGCAGCTTCTTGAGTTTTACAGTAGGGCTGTATTTTTCGCAGTGAAACTTTGTGTTACATTGTAAGAATTACACTAAGCAGTTACGGCGTGTGCTCTTTGTGCTCTTGTGCGCAGGTGCGCACACGAGCAAACCCTTCGCGCATGACCGGCAAGCGGGCAGTGGGTGACGGAGGCGGCACAACTACAAAGTGCCCGCTGTCGGCGGCAGACGCAGGGCCATCGCCAATGGAGGAGCTGCGCCCGAGGACAAGCGCGGCGCGCGCAGCAGGCGCTCAAGACCATGCGCGAATGGATCCAGAAACAACGCGCCGCATCGCCAACTGCCGACTCGTAAACCATTCCTCCTGCCCACCCCCACCCCCACCCCCAACACACACACACACACACAACAGCCTGTGTCACCCCCCCCCCAAAATTGAGCTCTTCGGGGGCATGGAAAGTACTCCCCCCCCCCCAAAAAAAATTATAATATCCGTTTCAAATTCAACGGGCCGCGACATCAGTCAGATCGGGCGGGGGAATGCAGACAGGTATTTTGCCGAAAAAACAAGCTTTCGGTACCAACAACCAACAAAACATGGATTCTGAATGTATAAAGTATTAAAGTAAGTAATTTGCCGTATTTAGGAACAAGAATTATCCACTTTTCGGCACCAGCTAGGTAAAATATGTTGTTTTTTTCCTACCGAAAACTGGCCGTTTTTTTTTCTATTTTTACACAATTTTCTCCATACTACGTAGGCATATGTAGTATGTAAAAATATAAAATGACAATTTTTGAGATGCGAAATTTTTTCTTGAGCACAAACTACTTGTGGAAAATATTTTAAATAAATTACATACAATTAGAATAAAAAAAGCGGAGAAGTGGTCATGCATGGCCCCTGCGGTACCCCTTGGATCCGCTACCGAGCGTTCACGCGACCTTCGGTCGAGCGCACCTTCCCAAATAACCGTGAGGAACAGAGGCGTCTGATCTTGGCGCCACTTTCCGCCCGGGCGCTCCCGCTTTCTTCCGGTGGCGTCTGCCTCCTGCAGCTTTCCCCAAACGACTTCCGAAGAGAGAGACGGAGGCTCGTGGAGCGAGGCGGAAGGCGATTCAAGGTCGCGCGGCCAACACCCCCGGAAAAGACGTCTCAAGGAGGCGCGTGAGAATTCAGGGGGCCGTGATGTGCGTAGACCTTCCAACCGATGGATGTCAATGTCGCAGTAACACGCGTTGAAGGCGGTAACGGAAGGAAGTAGCACATTGTAGGAAGGAGGTACGGCATCTCATGGGTCAGAGTATCTCCAAGCAGTGCAGTAAATGAGCATATTGGGGCCATTTGACGCGTTTATTAAAAGTGATCAGGACTTGTCCCGGCTAGGAGATATCTGGGAGAGGGAAAACTCCTCAAATCGAATTGTGGACGGCGTCGGATCTCACGATCCAGCTGAGGAGTACTGTCATGTCTCGGGATGTATCATGCACTGCAGCCTACGGACTAGTATCCACAGCAGTTGATTCGCTCTTAAACTCGAAATCATCAATCAGTCAATCAATCGAGAGAGCAGTCGCAGCTCAGTCTGTCACGACCGGAAAAGTTCCCCATTGGGAAGACACCTTTTGTAAGGCGACGTGTAGGTCGGCGCCGGGATTTTCGTTTCAGGATAATTTCTCGACTAATACATACGCTAGACTTACGGCACTAATGGCCCAAGTGGTTTACGCATCCCGAAAAATTACTCACACATTAATTACCTTATATATGGTTTTGCATCGTTATACCCGCTTAGGTGGCTCAGGCCATCAATTGAAGTTATTGAAATGCCTATGACCGAAAGTCCTTGGGGTCGAGTCTCGACGGGGGCATGATTTTCAACGCTAGCTTAATAGCTGGATCGAATTCAGCCTCTTTCTGGAGGAGAATTCTAGCGGCCAGCTGCTCTGAGCGATAGTTTTCGTGGTTTCTCCGATCAACCCGACGCAAATGCCGGAGCAGTACCCTAACAAACGGTCCACGGACCGCGCGCGATTTTTCCTTCCTCTTCCTTGTCCTATCCTCACCCCTTACTTACACACTCGCGCTTACATGCACTGCACTACCACACATACCAGGAGAGTAGTCGGGAGCACAGAGCTTGTCCCAGGAGGGGCGGGGCCCTTCTATTGGGAGATACGTGACAGTGGAAAATCCAGCGAGCCGATGTGTAGGTCAGCGCCGTATATCGTCATCCGGCAAGGGAAACCACTCCCACTATAGTACATGCACTACACTTACAGGACTAATGTTCTTAGGTGTTAAAGCGCCCGTAAACACTAGTAAATAATTAAATCAAAAGCCCGGCTCTACCCGTGTATGGCACGTGCATGCCGTTGCAGACGCGCGCTTCCTGCTGCGCTTCCTGCGCTCCAAGAAGTTCAGCGTGCCGCAGGCGCAGGAGGCCCTGGAGCGATACCTGCTGCTGCGCCAGACCTACGGCCAGGCCTTCCGCAACCTCGACATCACGCTGCCCACCATGGACTACCTCGCCACCAACGGGTGAGAACCCCCCGCCTTCCCTCGCCCACCCCCAGCCTCGCTCACGAGGGATTTGGTGGCAACGGCTAGCAATGCCTGGCTTTCGCGTGCGTGGAACAAAGGTGGAATTCCACGTGGAGGTGGTGATTCAAATTGTTGCGACGCGTAGTTACAAATTTAAATTACTCAAATAACTTAAGAAAATTTCTGTAATATCCAATTTCAATGATAAGTTGATGTTGATAATGATACACAATTATTTATAATTTAATGTGCGCGAGGGGTATTCATTAATTATTTTAAATTTGGTTTGTCTTCGCAACACGTTTCTTACCCCTTCGTGGACATTGAGCGTATTTGGAGAATACCTCCTTTACCTTTTTGTCTCGTCACGTTGCAGTCAGTCAGTGCCTTTTATCCCTTCGGCTAGGGTCTCGGTGCCGTTAGTAAACGAGGTTCCCAGACGGCCACCCGTCTCAAATAGATTAACTTCCGTGACTTAACGAAGCGCAGTTAAGTAATTCGGCTAACGATCATTTAAATAATAAGTAGAAATACGTATGTTAATTGGTCTTACGTGGGTTATGCAATCAAGTTAAAAGTCGTATCAGTATTTGGACGCAAAATATGCTAGAAATTCAGCTTTGCCTGGTCTCAATCATGAAAGTCAGCTAACTTAATGCAAATGTTTTGAATCACCCCACCTACTCAGTACAGTTTACGTATGTTCCACTTAAACACCTTCTTTAGCTCATTGTCAAAAAAAGCTTTTCATCATGATCAATTTTTACAATTTGCCATTTATATGGCAATACTGGAACAAACTAAATCACTCGTGAAAACAATCCCTAACCCCCAACTGCACTCACAGAACTGGCACTTTCCCAGCAGTATCCCACCCAACTGTAGTCACAGAACTGGCACTCCCCAGCGATACACTGCCTTGAGGAAGAATGCATTTTGCAGAGCGATGTGGCCTTTGGTGATTCTCAACTGTTTGAGAACCTATCAAAATAATCTTCCGCTGGGCTAAACAAAGCGTACTGTGCCTACAGAACCCTATATTCACAATCGCATTCTCAGCTTTTAGAAAATGAACGCATATAGCAAATATTTCTTTGGAGGCCATTTTATTTTTTAATTTGAAAAATCGTTTAAGGTGTAATACAACTTAAAATACTAAACATTCAGAGGACAATGTTCTACAGGAACATGAACAACCATTTTGTTTACTACTTGTCATGGACACAAGGATTTCAAATATTCCAGAAATATCGAAAATAAAATTAGTTAAACAAAAATGTTTCGCAAAAAATTACTTTATCGCAAAGGCGATTGTAAAATGGTTTAATTTCATGGCATGAAGCTTTTCCCTTTTGAAATCTTTGCAAATAAACATGTGCATTAATGCTCAACGTATTAACAGATACCTATTCGCCTGTCCTGAGAGAGATCGTCTTGGTCGCAGAGTGGTTGTTGCCCGACCGGGTATGTACAAAATAAACCTGTCCGGATTGTAAGTATGCTCTCTCGCATTACTAACTCTTATTGCAAAACATGAGCACTCGAATGTTCCTTGTAATAAGACAGGGCTCCAAATTCCTTCTATGTTTTACTCAAATATAATTACAAATTTGAGCATATTACTTAACACTGGATACGCCCTAAGTAACAAGAGGCATAGTTATGAGAAATAAAATACAAGTATCACTTGTTTGTGCACATTTCCTTTTTAAATAACAAACTAACAATACACAGGAGTATTTGACCCATACAAGTTCACAAATGAAGATATGTGCCGTTATCATGGAATTGCTTATGAAACTCTGATGGAAGATGAGGAAAATCAAATTCGAGGGTACAACCATTTCAATGATGGGCAAGGAGTGGGTTTCCATTATCTTACCCTTTTCACACCTAAAGAAGCTGTCAGGATAGTGAAAAATGGCGAGGTAAGGAAGAAAGAACCTTGAAATTTATACTACAATTACTTTCCATTTTGACGGTGATTATGTTAACACACTGACAATGTTTTTCAGCGCACACTTCCCATGAGACACAAGGAGGTTCATGTCATTAATGTCCCTCCCGGCTTGAAATTTGCTCTGGACTTTGGAATGTCTCTGATTTCTGACAAGATCAAGCAGCGAGTCAAGGTATACATTTAATGACAACTCGCATCTGCTTAAATTATTTACCAGACGTGATGTTAAAAAATTAGACTCTTACGATAAATTCATTTTAAGATAAACGGTACTGTTTAACAACAAATTAGGTATAGCCAATCATCACGTTTTATGAAGTTATTTTGCTCTTGCGTCATGAATTTTTCGAATACTTCATTTTTAAACCCTGAAATTGACAATTTTTGTATTCATTTTCACAAAAACAATCTCCACTGAAATCTAACTACGGGGTAGAAATAATCTGACGAAATATATTTACTTCAGATTTACACTTCCCTGGAGAAGGCCAAAGAAGCCCTGGGAGAGGACTGCAAAGTGCTGCCCAAGGAGTATGGAGGAACCATGCCTATGGAAGAGATGATAGGTAATATCACATTACAATAATTTGTATGATATTTGCAATGAGAAAATATTACTTACGCACTGCTCGTCTATAAAAGAAAAGTCTATTTTATAGCATTATTATCAATTTAAACTCTACTACTTTGAGAGACGTAAGTTTTCACGTAAAAGGTTATCAAATATTTCAATGATTTACATTCTTTTATTTTCGTTTGCTATTTGCAATTATTATAGACATAAATACCTACTAATTCAATTGATTTGCACCTCATTCATATGTAACGTGACCTAAAATGGACATGTAGCCAGGATTTTCCAATGTTCAAGACGCCTCTTTCCGTTTCAAAACTCTCGATGTTCAGTTTAATTCAGAGTGTTTATTCATATAGATGAAGGTGTTCCCAAGTTTGTTATCTTCGACGACTGCGTTAATGTAAGTTTGTAGAAAATTGTAATGCTCCTTTTGAAAAGGCTGAAAAATGTAAACAAAATTCTTAGAACGCCGACATATACATGAAGTGATGGGGAGAAAAAGAATATTAATTGGCTAGAAGAAAGGAGAATCTTAGAACTTGCTTATTGTATAAAAAACGATCATGATACAGGCATAAGAACATTTTTACAACAAATATTACGGGATATGCAGCGTTTTTTAGAATGATTCATCGTGAAAAAATTACTTGCATTAGCATGATAACTAAATACAATTATTTTCGATTTTGATAGTCACAGCAGTCTTTATCTGTAAAACAAAATTGTACTGCAAAACTATTTTATGTGGCGTTTTCAACTAGTGCGAAAATTTTAATTGTTCTGTGAACTACTGATCTGTTATATCGACTTAACGTAAACAATTAAGAACAAAAAGCCACTCTTAAAAGACGGCGTTCATAAAGGATTCAACAGTCCGTTGTCCGTTAACAGCACTGTCCGTTAAGAACAATCGAACCAATTGAGATTAACTCGAGACGTTGTATGAGAAAACTTATTCCAAGAAATGCTATTCCTTGCTTATATAACTACGCATATTTCTTTTAAGAATATGGTATCACGAAAGATATTAACGACACATAGTAACATAAATAACAGACTCGATTGGAAACCTAGAGAATTGCCTCGGGTTACAAATTCCAAATGCCTTTTATTTGCCATTCACCGGCCCAATGAGTTTAATATATCGTTCGAGGGCTGCAATAACGACACAACCGAAAAATTCAGGTGTTGTAATAAACGAGTTAGAAGTTTTCATCTCGCATTAAAATGAACTATTCTTGCATTCATATTTCTGCCTTTTGTTGTTGGAATACTGTACTGTAAGCTGCTGAAAGGTAGACCAATCTATAATTCTGAAGACTAACTAAAAAGTATACAAATTATATATTAAAAATATTAACTAAAAATTCGTTGTTTTTTAGATGTGCCTCTATTGCAGCGATATGTTCAATATATTTCATGAGTTTAACAATGCAATCTGGTGGTGTTTTGTGTCGAAAGCTCTGTGGAAGAAGGAGCTGATGGCGTCACGCGCTCTTCTGCTGTCCCACGACGAGATGGGCGTGAGGGAGGAGCTGTTCAGCCCGCAGGCCAGGGAGGGCGCCGTGTCCGCCCTCAGAGCAAACACCACCTCCTGCGCCCTGGGCATGGGCAACTCCGACATGCTGGGCATTTCCGGCAGCTTCCGGAAGTTAGAAGTCGATTAAATACTTTACTTTATATGCTAAGAATTAATACTGCGAGTGTATTCGCTTCATTAGTCGCCAAAGCTCTCAGATGTTTCTTATTTCCGATTCGAAATGAGAAAATTTGAACAGTGAGTGGTGTGCGCATTGGAAATAATCTAGTAGGAACGTGGGTGTGCTAAATCCTCTTTTCTTACAATAAGATACTACCTTAATTAGTAGAGAAACATAACGCTGATGGCTTTTGTGAGTTTAAATCCTTCTGACACATCCATTTCTTTCGTGAAAGTACAGATCATTTCTTATCATGCCACTTAATCTTTATTGCTGGTCTTTCAATTCAGCTTTTTGAAGTGTGAACGTTTGTGTACAATCATTTTACAGTTTTAGCCTTCAAGGTACTATGTCAACTTGTAATTATAGAGAACGAAAAGTCTCAAAAACTAAAAGTTTTCGTGTTAGTGTAGTTGGTTCAAGGAAAATACTTTTCTAGCAGGTGTATGTTGATACTTAATATTGCATAAGCAATATTCGAATCATATAGCCTTCAAGAATCCAAATATAAAATTCATTATATGTAAATAAGGGAATTCTGTTATTGTTATTATTTTACCGCATGTACAACTTACAGGCTGATGTTCGTAAAAAATCAATAAGCCAGTTTTCTATGACGTAGGGAAAATGTATTTGTAGCAAATTATGCTTCATACGTGTTGTTATATGTATTAAACTTTTTGCAATAAAATACAAAACGACAATTTTGTCACTGACTATTGTTTTTACCTGAATTCTGTGAAAGAAATATCAAAAACCATTTCCTAGTATTAACCCTGTTAAGGGCCGTTGGCTCACCGACAAGAGCTGCGTTAGCTCAGCAGCAACACCACTACCGTTGCCGCGTAATTGGCCAGGACCTCCTAGGGTTCGCAACTCGACAGTGACATATTTTCGACACTTGCTATTCATAGCCAGTAGGTTGGAATTTGGTCACTCTCTTCAGAATTCTAGCGGTCGCTGCTCTGAGCGTGTTGTTTTTCTATCAAAACCAGGTGAAAACGCAACAAAATTCTAACAAATGAGCTATGAACAGAGCGCGATCTTTCCTTCCACATCCTTGTCCCATGATTTCTCCTTACACCAACACATTGATATCACTTGCAGCACACCTCCTCACACGTCGGGAGCCTAGAGCTTGTCGCCGCTGGGGGACAAGCTCTAGGGAAACAGAAACCGACGGATCTCACGCTCCACAGGGGCAGCAATGCCCTCAACTCCTGGGATATACTACACTCACGTTATTAATGACCTAAGTGGTCATCGCGCCTGTAGTCATTATTCATTCACAGACTGAGTACACGGGTACAATCCCGATATGTGTTGGGTATTTGCTTGGTGCGCTAAAGCTTAAGGAGTTTGTAGCGCCTGCAGTAATCAAGGTCGCAATTTGTGAATCCGATCGGTGGATTCCAACGTTTCCCTGATCACTTCCTGGCGAGTGCCGGAGCAGCCCTACACAAGCTAGCCGTGGACTGCCAAAGATCTTCCATTCCCATCCATCTCCCCCAATACGAGCTAGTACGCCGTGGGAGAGATCATCCAGTACATTCCCCCTCCTCAACTGACCCTGAGGAAACGTCCAAACCAAGTGCAAGGACATCCAAAATATTGAATAGATTGATGAAGTAAATTTTAAAAAAGTGGACAACGCACATACAATGACTTGTCTACTGCGACACACATCCGAACAAACTGTTACTAATATGAATAATGTGAAAACACCAAAATATACAATTAGGGAAATAACATCGCAATAACCAGAAAGGGTCTTGACAAGATGAAATACGACACTGAATACATCTGAGAGAAATCACTACACAAATACTTCATTTGCAGTTATTGTAAATATTTCTTCCAACGTTTAGGTAGTCAAGAAACACTTTATAGTACATTAATTGCATTATTAGTTTATTAATATTTAAAGGGGTCACGTGCCCTCTCCTTTGGATCAGTCCCTACCTGAAAGAAGCCATTATCGTCATTGCAATTCTATCATTGTCACCAGAGTAGATGACACAATTACAAGCATCACATAAAAACAATTGTTTCATGTGGATTCCGCTTTATATCCGTTTGCAGTCTAATGTAGAATCAAATGAGAGACAGTCTCTAAGATAAGAACTAGTACTTTATGGTAAATTTCCGGAGGACATTTGAAGCATTACTGATGAGTGTGTTGTGCTGACATTGCACCAATAAATGGAGTACCGTAGATTGGGGTGATACCTCCTTAACACTCCTGTTTATGTGATGTAGCAGCTTATGTAATATTGACTTGATACATTTCTTGTGCGGCAGTTGGCTATTCTGGATGTCTATGACTGATAATAGTCATATTACTATTTCATATGATACAAAGCTGTGGCTGCGTATTGTTTTAAACTTCGGGTATAATATTTTGAATAAATTTGTGCTGTGGAAAATTTCCAAGATGAGGTCAAGGCATATTTTATTGAATTATCTAATAAGTTCGCAGTAAGTAGGACTGGGAGAAAAATTGTGAATAGAAGAATGTTCTAACCTGAAATGTCAGCTACTTTCGTGATCATTTGGTGAATGGGGTGGCTTTGATTAGTACATTTTGTCAAATAAAAAATGTAATAGGGGTATTAAACAACGATCTCTCTATTACATTATTTATATAACATTACATTTCTATACATTATTGAATATAAATCAACTGGAATTGCACCTGTCAACCCTTCCAAAGTTATGGCCAAACTTCCTGATGCTCAATTAGAGCTCAATTTCATATTTGAATAATAAAAGACTTGCTGCCGTTGGTGCTAAGGAAGAAAGAAAGACGAAGGAACATGCCGTTCTGAACCATGAAAAAGCATAACTTCTGCCAAAAATAGTGAAACATCTGAGAAGGATGATGATATTTCGCAAACTAATGGAGAATTGTTAACTAACGAGCTCTCACATAGCAGAGAGAAAGACACTCAAGTATTCTGTGAAGGGAATTACTGCCCCGTTCTGCTAAATTCTGAAATGGATTTAACGCGCGCACACACACACACAAAAGGTTTACAGCCTATTGTGTAAGGGGGAGGGGCAAACGCACATGCAACCAGCTGCAGAGTTACGCTGCAACTCACTTCGCCCTCGGGCATTCCTACGAAACGGTTCGTGTATACTCTGAGAACCGGGTTTCGGATCCCTGAAGGTTCACGAGCTGTTTCTTATGTCGTAATCTGCACATAAGATCTTTTTGACGTTCCATTACATTTCCGGACGGTACTCCGTTTTGAAGCAAGGGTTTCAGAAACGTACGACATTCGGTTTCAGCACGAAGCGATTTTCTCTTAAAAATGATTTACACGGGGCGGAATGTTCGCAGGAGAGTTCTTGAAGCTTTACGGGTATTTGCTCATACAGGTATTACTCGCGCAACTTTTCTTGAATGATGGGTTGAAGAAATGCGGGTAGGGTGGGGGTATTAGTTACGATATCAGCCACTAGATTTTATGAAGCAATGCCAATCTCTGGAGAATCAGTCACGCCTTCTTAACGTGCTCAATAAGTTCCGTTCTAACTTGATCAGGAGTTCGAGGTATCTCCTGTGATAGATTCGTACCCGCTTCGGTCATTTCTTTAGATTTTTGGAGAAAATAACCTATAGAAGTTCTCGTCTTCAAAAGAAAATTGTTTCTACTTCGAGTCAGTGAAGATGTGTTTGGAATGTTGTCATCAGTGCTCGCTGCAAACTTTTGCCTTCATCTGTTTGTTGTGCCAGAGAGGGGAAGCAAAGTCATCGTTCAAGAAAAGTTGCGCGAGTAATACCCAGAACCCGTATTTGCGGGTATTCTAACGGGTCCAACCCTCCCGCATTCATACGGGAACCATATCATACGGGTCGCCCGTATCATATAGGTTACCCGTATAATACGGGTCGGCTGTAATGTATGGGTAGCGGGTATCATTGGGATTCTTGATAGAGAAGAACAGAAGATATTCTATTTAAGAGTACGCAGAAAGAGAGAGTCCTTAAAGTATTTCCTTTTATTTTTACTTTCCCGTACAAGTAAGTATATCCGGAGTAATATACGTAGTGTAGGGAAAGTTATGTAATGCTGCGGAAAATCGATTTAGATCGATTATCGATTTCAATGAAAATACACGTTATGGGGTTTCCTGATACCGAAAAAGTGGTTCTTTTCAAAAAGCCGGCCTGTGAACACCACTAGCGTCTAAACCATGCTTAGATTTTTTCAAATTGAGGAAACCCCTGTACATTTGACTCAAGTCGAAGTTTTGAGGTTTTGAAAAACTTTTTTTAAAATTTGGGGGTACTTTACATGGCGATCCTGGAGTATTTTCAAAATTTTCATAAAAACGGCTCCAAATTTTGCTTTAAATTTCTTGTAAGAAAAAAGTAAAAATACAGGTATAAAGTGGCATAAGTCTGAATTTCACTGTTAACTCTAAACTTGGTAAACTATCAAAAATTTGAATTTGGCGTTGCCACTATTATTTGAACTATTGAATACTCTTTTAATTGAATTGACACAATTAATTTGAAGATAGAGATTTTTCCTTCAAATGAAATTTGTTGCCCATAATTAATTCTTTCATTAAGATCTTGTACATTTTTTGGAAATTTTAATAATTCTCGCGCATACTGCGTACAATATGAGCAATTAAAAAAAATATAAAAACAAGATTTTCTCAACAAAAAAAAGCGCTCCAAATTTTTACTGTACACTTTTAGTAGGGATAATGCTAAATACACTCTGTAAGATGACATAAGCGCCATTTTGCTCTATTCTTTTGCTTTTTCAAAAATTAAAAAAATATATAATTTTATTGACTTGTCTCCCAGGTCCTTAATATTTACATTAGTTTGGATTATTTTAAGCTTACATGTGCTTCAAATGATATTTTATATAAGTTTCTCGAAATCTCAACCATTTCCTGAGAAAATTAACTCAAAACTCCGCATTTTTAGAAACGCTCAAACGCTACTTTCTCAAAATCGAATCCAAATTTTTTCTTCAAACTTTTCACACAGATAGTGCTAAATGTCCTGTTTAAGATGACATGACATTTATTTTGCTGTATTCCATTGTTTTTATTTTTCTTAAAAAACCACACAAATATAAGTTTTTTAATATCTCTCACGCCTTCAATATGCACATTTCCAGCGATTTGTATACATTGCTGCATTTGTGAGTGGAAATGCATCAAATGACTCCCCATAAAGTTTTTCGAAAACTCAAAAAAATGTCTGAGAAAAAGAGCTTGAAATTTCGCATTTACAGTAACGTTTAACGTTTAAACGCCATTGTCTTAAAAACGGCTCCAAAATCTTCAACGAAAACTTCCTTATAGGACAAAGTTACTCTTCTATAAAACTCTTAAAGTAATATTACGGTTCAACGTTTAGAAAACCGAAAAATTGAGAAAACTTCATACAAATGTACTTTGGGTACGGCAACTGGCAAGAGTATGGGGCTAGTTCGAAAAGCTAGTACGATAAAGTCTGTGCCATTCTGTAGCACCGCAAGTTTGATTCGTTCCGCTACTTTCGGCTACGTTTATGAAGTAACTTAATAAGCATAAATAGACGAAATTTACACATGTTCTTCTTTAACGACAACCCCAATGATACCTACGACCCATATTTTAGGGGCAACCCATATGACACGAATACCCGTATGAATGCGGGTAGAATGGACCCGCGTTTTGCTGAAGCGGGTGGGCGAGCAGTTTTTCAGAGTTCTAGTTCTCAGAAGCACTTTTAAAATATTACAATTAACATTCGGGTTCCCGAATAAATACAAAATGATTTATAAATTTAAACGTCACATTATCCAAGCAGGGATATCTGTAAGTTAGTCGACGTATTTACTTTTATGTAATTTGGTCGACGTGTTGACGATATGTAATTTGGTGACGTATTCGAACCCGGAATCAAGAAACATTCAATCAAATGAAAAAGAAAGAAAAAAATCTGACTGAATACTTTACATAAAATTAAAATTTGCATTTACGTAACGCGGAAAAAAGCAATCCTGATTTTAAACCAAGTACAATACTTTTTACAACAGATTTAAGTGAAGGTGTAGGCGTATTGGATTTACATTGGTTGATTTGCTGGCGATATTTTCATTTCTGAGACTTCTTTGACTCGTCACCAGTGGAAAGTGTGCTACTACTTATCAGCGCATTAAGACAGAAATACGCCGGTAGCGGAGTAAGTTTTTTGACACGACACAAGAAAGAAAAAACCTGCTCGGCCCTTTCTCGCACTCGTTCTCGTAGGCTTGCTGGGAAGTCTTCTTGCTTATGTCAGAGAAGGTCGGTGCCCCTACTCGAATCCAACTTGAAACACCACCTCCAACCAAGAACACGACAGTTCTTGCTCTCTCGCCCGGTCGGCCACCACGTAGGCGCCGACCCCAGTCGTGTCGGACCAGAGCGTATTACTCTTCTAGACATGGGCTCCCTAGCCCTCATCTAGCGTTGAATAGCTCAGCACGTTGAGATACTTAGGTTCGACTCAGAACGGCACGTACAAATTTAGAGTGCTGCCAACAACCACCTCGTACTTTCAAAACAATCGTAGCATTTCTCGTGGCACGCTTTGGCGAGTTCAGTTCATGCCCACAGTTGGTATGCCCTTTTAAGCCATGACGTGCCTCTCCTCTCCCCTCCCCCCGCTGTGGAACATCAAGAAAACTTGCGCGTATAGTATACTCGTATATGTCGGTTATTTGTCGAGCCGAGCGGAACGGGAATCTACCCCTCCTCTCCCCCCTTCGCTAAGTCTATAATAGTGAGGACGGTGGCGACGACGGCGGTGTTTCGGAATGCAGAATTATGGTGGAAATTGCCATATTCCCACCGTGACGCAGACTTCCCACCTGGGACACACTATAGGACCATTATGGATTCCTCGTAGCAAAAGCTGGGTTCTTCGTGAATCCATTGCGCTATATTAATTCTTTACTATTGAGCGAAAAACTCAAAATTGTTGGAACACCGTCTGGAACACCGGTGGCTGGAACACCGTCTACCAAGGCAGGAAATGGAAACGCTGTATTTGTTCACGGCGGAAAATGTTTGGAGCCAAGTGTCGAATTTCGTTTTCCTAATGGTCTTGCTGACAAATTGGTAAGTACGGCCTTATCAATGACCTAAATGGACGTTTGTACAAAAATATATTTATTAATAGCACCCAAAATATACGTAACTTTAACATATACTAGTGCTACATCACATACTTTCTCTCATTATTTGTAACAGCTACGCGATATTCCACTTCATATGAACCAGCAAAACGTTTTTCTAATCGCTTGCATTCGAACTCATATCCATGCATTCAAATAGCATTGCGCTTCACCGCTTCACCACGCAATCGCTCGACCGTACCGACATTTGTTGAAGCTTAAAAAGTGATCTCTGTCACTATTTGTAACTCGTGCAGTTTTCGAAAATTCATAGTTGAAGGAAAATTTTACCTACGCCAATTTTAAGGTTTCTTTTGTTCTTTCCAAGAAGCAAATTTAAACAAAAAACGTAGGGTTATTTTTCGAGAATTTTTTTAAGTTTAAATCCCTTAACTTCAAGCAGAAATTGCGCTAAAATCAGTTGTTTTTTTCAAACAATTGTAAATAACCTTTTTTCAAACACCTAATTTTTACCTTCTTGCTATGGGGTAGAGACAAAGTTACGTAATGTGAAAAACCGGCGAATTTTCGGGTAAAAACTCTTATTATAGGGCCCTGATAACGAAGAAGTGGATAAATCCAGAGAGAAAATCCTCTGGATTTATCTGGATTCTCTGGAAGTAATTTACTAATTTTTACTTCTATAAAATGTATCCACTTTTTTGTTACCAGGCCCGAAAATGACAGTTTTCCGTTAAAAAATAGCCTATTTCCAGCGCACAATTATATTCAATAATAAATAAACACACAATACGTAATAAAGCGTAAGTGCCACTATAATTTTTAATCATTTGACATCAATGTACCTGCACTTTAACACCTATGTGTCCCACAAGGCAGTAAAAGCAAACTATTTCCTTTGTCATTTCCACAAATTGTAATAGTTATTTATATGATATTAGTAGTGTGACTTTTGTGACTTTTTATTTTGAGGAGGAAAGATTGCGACATTCGGCCTGCCGACTGAGAAGCATAATCCTCCGAGCTGATTCAGTAAGAGTTATTTTCTTTCCTTTATTGTATTAACAGTTTTGCCTGAACGTTTCAGCATTTATCACTCTTGCTAGGAATTGAACTCGTATCACGCTCAGTATAAAAGAAATATTTGTAAATTCTGAGAGATGATATACACACTCTCTTCGGAAAGGAAGTTTTACCTCACGAATGACAACCCTGGGAGTGAGGCATTTGTCTCGGGTAGGTAAAGTATATTTGCTGTAATTGATGTGTAATATTTATTAAATTACATTATTTTGTTTTGGGAAAACAGTATTTTAAAAAAATATGACTTGTCTCAATTCAACTTTCAAATCACCATGAATTTCACTAGTTCCGAAAATACGCCGCTTTTCACCGCACGAATACAATACTTCTTCTTTACTACTTAGGTAGTAAGATAATGTAGGCAATATATATATAATGCACGCAACTCATTCGCAAGTGTCTTTAGAGAACTCGTTTCAAAATCTCGAACTCGGCTCATATCGTCGCCACGTCCGTCAACATTTCACTTGTACTCCACTTTCTTTACTACTTACATAAATAACTATTGAAGTGGGTGTTCCGCAAGTGGCGGTGATCTCCTGCTGGATGGCGAGATTCGGCGCCGAACTACCTGTCCACTTGCGAGTTTTTCTTCAACCAGGTTATCTCCCACACGCGACGCACCGCCCCAGGCGGGACAAGTAACTCCCAACTGGTCTCCCAGCATGTACAGAGTGAGGTGCATGTAAGTGGGTGTAAGGGTGAGGATAGAAACGGAGGAGGAAGAAAAGATCGCGTGCGGCCCGTGGCTCATTTGTTAGGGTACTACTCCGCTATCCGCCTGTTGTTCGGAGAAACCACGGAAAACAACCGATCAGAACAGTCCCTAGGCGACCGCAAGGCATTGTTGAACGCGCACCGGCCGGCAACACACGACAGAAACAACTGAAAATCACACGAGGGTATTAAATAATTTTAATTTTTTATTTAATAAGTATTTTTAAAAAGTATTTCCCTTTCTAAAATTCACATGCCATCCCACAAACCACCGGAAAACCTTCGTACGCTTTCCTTTGGAGGGGAAGTAAAGCCAGCTGTCCTATGTTGTATTTTTATAGCATGTAAAAGACCCTCAAACCTAAATTAAGCCTCTAAGCAAAATTAAAATCACCTGACGCCCGAGTGATATCTTTCACTGCCGGCCACCAAGGAGTGTAACGGAATTTGCGTGGTCAGGCAGAAGAGCAGGCCTAATGGCCTGAGACTCACCACAGAAAACAAGGCATCATTGATTAAATGAAAGAAAGTCAAGGAAATAAATATTCTCCATTTCTCTCTGTTTCCAGTAGTTTTGCTTCCTAGTTGAAAGACTTCCTTCACCTGAAGCGTACATGCTTCCAGTATGGGACATAATTCACACAACTCATGCATAAATACATTTCTTTGCTATCTTGCCTTAATCTCTCTGGTTACTCCTTGTCACTGTTTACACACAAGAGGTATATATGTGTTTGTGTAAACATACAGCAAGCAAGTAAATAAATAATTAAAGAAAGAGAAGGGCAGAACATTACACTAAGTAATATATACAAATATTTTAATAGAAAATGCAATGCCAATAAACAGAACATTCCATTCACACATCACTTCAAATATCAACTTTAAGGTATAAATTATATTAAATATTTTACAGTTTTTACTTCTATGTGAAAACTAAACACATTTCTTCTGAAATGCATCAAACCACTGGAATGTCCTCATTTTGTATAAAATATCTTTCACTGAATTCTTCTCTGGCTAGTTTTCTGTCACAAATATAATTACGTTTGAACTGGATGGTGTTTCAAAGAGTTTGTTAATAAGGAAGAGTGTTGCTCTTATCGTGCTCAATTCTGTAACACAATTCAAGAATACACAATACTGTTTATTTTGCAAGCTTATAAACACTGATTTTGGGGAAGTTTGCAGACAAGTGCATATACAGTCGACTCTGAATATAGTGAACTGAAGTCACTGGTCCTGATCCCCACAAATCCTACAAGGTTACTATATAAATACTACAAGGTTTGGGTTTAAAGAACTCACAGCATTGTTTATAATAAATACAGTAAATACTACTTTTAGGGAAAAAACAGTAAGCCTCAGAACGAAGAATTCATATAACACTAAGGGAATGAAGGTAAGGGGTCTTTTGGTTTGTTTGCTTTTTAATTCATTTTGTTGGTGAATAAAAGGGATTGATGGAACCATGCCCCAGAGGGAATTTCTTCGGCTCATCAATGACAATTCTGTTCAATCTGAAGACTTCATTGACCAGGATTGCAAGTTAAAAACTAGTGAAATCCAATAAAGCTAGGACATGAATGTGTACAATGGGTATTTTCAAACAGAAGAAAACAGTTCAAACAGAAGTAAACAGAAAATACAATAATAAAGAAGTGCTTGAAAAGTATAAGAGACATTGAAAAGTGTACTACTACTGTGAATATACAGAATGTCCAGAATATACCGTTACAAAACAATATCCCAGATTCTGTGTAGATGTTCATGAAGAATGATAGGTCCAGTTTTTCTGAGTTACCAAGTTACTTACGGGCGCAAAATTCAAACCTGCTGCCGGTACACCAGACACCTCCGTGGTGTCTGCCAACGGGGCTAGGCATAGGGTTGTGTTTTCAGTGAGCTTATTCGCTTGCTGTGCACTAGGGTTTTTAACTGCACTAAGTGTTTCATGTGTACTATTCTTTTAATCTATTAAATCTACTAAAATTCATTTTTGCTGCTTGTTATAAACACGGTTTTCATCGGTGTAACAATGAATGCTGAATACAAACCAAGCCTTATAGAAATTTAAAAAATCCTAGAATGTTCAAATTATTATTTGCATATCTTTAGTGTAAACTAATGCCTTGTGCTTTAGAGAGTCATTATTAAATTAAGAAATGATGTTAAGGGGAAAACTGCAGAGGACTATCATTTATCGTATGTGACTCTCTAAAGCACAAGACTTAATAGATTAAATCACTGTTTTGCAGAAAAGACGCGTCCCGTTGGCAGACGCCGCTGTGCAGGTATCGTATCGAGGCAGTAGGTTTGAATTTCATGCCTGGAAGTAACTTATAAACTCATTTTATCTAAGACAATTTTTTTTCCCCGGAAAATTGGATCTTCCAAATTTTTCCTCAACACATAATCGGGGGTATTTTTTGTAATGGGAGCTCCTGGGCAACCTGTACATTCAAGTGTTAGGAAAGCACAAAAATATTGGTATTTTGAATTTTCAGTGATTGATCATTGTCTCTACCAAATAATCAAATCCAACATTGTTATAAAGCTGTATCAGATTTTGAGATAATGGGATATAGTGAACCTCTAATGTAAATCCAAAAAGGTTAGTTCCCCAAAGGTTAACACTATATCCAGAGTCAACTGTAGATTCAAAGGCTTTTGAAATAAAGAAATATATTTAAAAATAAATTAATAAATCAACACATAATAATATAAGGAGAAAATTATTTTCTTTAAAAGAAGATGCAGAACACACAATTTTGAAGAAAAAAAGTTAAGAGATGTTGGCCAGAATAATACAAGGGGAGTTGGAAATGTAAAAAAAATATTCATATGTTTACAGGCTTCACAATGAAATAGAAAATTGAACTCCGCATTTGAAGTTGCGATTAAAAGTAAAGTTTGAATTTGAAACCTTACATGTTTTTATGATTTTTCAAGGACTGTAAAATGAAAATAGGAAAATTCACAACCACAGTGTGCACGCAATGAAGAATATATCAAGTTTCTTGAACATCAATGAGTCTGTCTGAACTTGTATTTTTTGTGACAATTTGACATTGGTCAACTTCTCAATCATTTAGGAAGTTATGCCATTAAAAAGAAGAAAAAGCGCAATAAAATCATAAATAACCTTCAATTACGATTTCAGAATTATTCCATGAACACTTAGCATCAACATTTTTTCTTGTAATCCAACAATTTCCAAAGATGTGCAATTTCAATGCTGCACAAAGCAATAGTAGCTCTGACTTTCTTCGAGATTAAAATCTAACTCTAATGATTTTGTAAACAGCTTCAGCAAATTCTTTTGGTTTGGTAAAGAGCATCATAGCAAGAGAATAGATAATAGAAGCAGCAATTGAGAAATTAACAATTATAAAAAGTTTCCATAAATAAGTAAATTACACACACTTATTACTGCAATATACCATACTGCCCCTGTTAAACAACATAACGTAAGAATCGTAAGTGGCAGATTTTAAGATTGGGTTTTCAAAGGCCTTAAAATGAAACATAAATATTTATGTCAATCTATTATGTACAAACTGAACTTAATAAAAAACAACAATAAAAAAGGTAATATATAAAATATTAACACATACCCAATGATGTTATCTGAGTTATTCAGATTTGGTTCCTTGGCTTATTACTATGGTTTGCACTCCTCATGGAAAGGCTCAAGAGTTCTGAAATCTCTCCATGTGGGTGGCAGAGCACTATGAAGGTGGTTACCACATCGCTTGCAAGGGTCACTGAATAAAGTATTGTAACTGTGAAACCAAGTCTGCAAAACAAAAATACAAATAATAGCTACATGTACATTGGATCCATACTGAAATGAACAGCAGAAATTAAATTACACGTATGAAAAATAGACAGACTTAAAGAATGAAGTGAAGTACACAAGGAGCATGATTTCAACACAAAACCAGTAACTAAACTGGAGATGAAAAAGTTTTTGGGTTGAAACTTCACAGTGTTCTGGCAAACGATTATAATAATTTTCTTCTGATTAGCTAGCATCAGTAAGAGCTAGAATGAAGAAACACCAAATATTTAAAGCTTATTTACTAAAATTTCTACCGGAATCTCTTTAAAAATTAAGCAATAAACGCAAGACAACTGAAATTTCAAAACTATGTTCTTGAAATATATTTTCCAAAGTCAAAAATATAAAACAATCACAAGTTTTTAAAACTTGAGTTTAAATATTTAAAAATTAAAATAATAAAACAAATTAGTAGAAAGAGATTATATCACACTGAACATATTTTAGATCATTGCATGTTTTAAACAATCTGGCACACATGAACATATTATTTCTGTTTGAAGAAATAAGTCTCGTTCTTGCTCAAGATATTTTTTCATAAGCGACGTCTGATGTGTTAGTGGCCAGAAATGCCAGTTCATATTCATTACGATGCATCTTTTAAATTCTTTCAACACCAAGAATGTAACATGTACAAGATGAAATAAAAAATTATTCATCCATAATCAATGAAGACTAACTTCATTCCAAGTCTGCATTTTGTCATGTATGGATTTCAGTTGTTTAGAGTGTACTTTGGACAGTGCTGGTGAAAGCATCAATTCAAAATGCACTCCACGAAATAATCAATAAGTTCAGCATTTTAACTGCAAAACACTATTAGCATGTGTTATGATATTAAGGTTAAAAACTGCAGGAGACTTATAATTTATTGTATGTGGTTGTTTAACGCACATGACACTATATCACACTGATGAGAAACTAATATATTCAATAATCACCAAAAATAATGCTCAATAAACGTGTTCACTCGCATAGATCAGAACACTAACATTGTGTCTGGTCTCAGGGACTGTGTTGCAGTGTCTTGCTACAAGAATGACTTTTCAAACATTAAAAATATGATCTGACTTGGTTTACGCAACACAAAAATAAGAAATATAAATAAAATGTTTACTAGACCTGGTCTCAGAGACCATGCCACATTAACAGAGTTATAGCATGGAATTCTTCAAAGCATGAGAAAAGAACATTTAAAATTTTACCATAAACGAGCGAACAGCCAATTCAGGCATGGTTGGAGAATAAAAATGTAGCATGGCAGCATGAGCATTCTCTGTTACTTTTCGGAAAACCTTATGGCGAGATTCTGTCCATAAATCCAAAGTTTCACCATGACCTTTGACCACAACCCATTCAATCATTAGGCCCTTGAAAGCTGCCATAGCTTTCAGGATCCGGCCTAGCGTAATCTGAAACAACACATTTATTCAATTCATATTAACAAAAACAAAAAGGAGAAAATCATCTCTTAAATTATCAGAAAGTTTGAGAAATGGGTTTTATAATAACCTAGAAAATATAACAACCGTATTTCATTAATTGTTAAATACACAATAATGGTTGTAATATTTATAATTACATTTTAACGAGTACCAGTTTACAGTACCCATAAATTAAAAGGCAGTAATATTTCAACTTAGACCAAAATTAAAATGTCATATAATATTATCAAACATATGTTTCCCTAAAAACTCTTAAAATTTACATGGTCAAACTATTTAAAGCCAGAAGATGTACTAACAAGGAATTTGTTAATCTCAATTTAAGCAAATAATTTACCTGTAGCACAGCATTTGTAGCATATGGCCTCTGAATGGTAACACTCATATCACTGAATTGCCGATCAATATTACCAATCACTTGATCAACAGTTCTGAAAATCAATTTCCCAGATTAGAAGTTTGATAAAACACCTGCACAGTTCCTACTTCATTTCTTACTCTACCATCATATTTGTCACAGAAAGAAACACATACTGAGGTGGAACATTGTGACTACTGGTTTGCATTCGTCTTCTTTTGCTGCTTGAATTTATGTATGATCTTTTCAGAGAATTTTGGCTAAACAAAGTGACAGCCAGATTTCCATACTCATGAACCTAAAATAAAAGCATATTCAAATTAGCTAAATCGATACAGTTCAATACCTTGAGAAGGCAATTGTAAATCCAGAACTCTACTACCTTGTCCGTCCATTTATATGATTTCACCAAATCAGCATATAATGCTTGTCGTTCAAGGGTACACTCTTGTGTAAGATATGTAGAGTTACCCAGATTGAAAGGACCTGGAGGTGGTGTTAAGCTATTTACCGCTTGATCTAATTCTCTACAAAACAGATGTAAGAAAATATATAGATATTAACCATTAATTATAAAAAACTTAATTCCACGAATATACATTTTTTTCGATAATAATACCTCAAATTAACATTGACGGTGCTTAAGAGCTCTTGCAATTCAAGTAGAAATTTATTATCCTTATTTTCTTCTCCATGATCTGCTCTAACACCATTTCCTAGAGTGTCAAAAACATGTCCTACGCTCGATCTTAATACCTTGACTGCATTTAAAGCAGTATAAAAGGGTTCCATATTGTTTGATGACTCAGCTGCCGATAATCAGTTTAGAATTGTGCTCTACACTACTCTACACACCGGTATTTACTCACACGCAGCTCACGCATCACCCACATAACCAAAAATATTCTCAGGTTCTACGAGTATGGAGATACGGAACGTCTGTTTACTTTCCTGGCGTCTTGCGACAGACCTCGAGGGCTGTGCCGAACAGGAGAGACTCGGGTTCCGATTTCACGTGCTGGCTGTGGTGGCGCACTTTTTGAACATTGACGTTCACCGTCACTTTCAGCTTACTGTTAAATTTATTTTATTTTCTTGCTATCTCAGGATTCTTTAAATGCTTTTAAGTTACAATGTGGGTATCGTTATTGATGTTTTGAATACTTTTCAGTGGGATGACGTGACCGGTCGTGACTACAAGTGTCTAGGAATGATGTGACTACACAATAAAATTGTACTAATAGTTCTTTTAACGAAACAAATACGTTTTCTATCAATCGAGAGTGAAATTTTCAAGTTTTCACACGTGGCCACGCTTATCCTTTTATTTCATTCAGCTATGTAGGCCTGTAGTAAATTGATCGGGATTCAGGAGCACAAGAAGACACGCTCAAATAATTCTTCTCCCACATATTGCACATACAGTTTTTACGGGTTCTTTTTTGGCGAAAATAAATCAAAATTAAATCTCCAGATGTTCCATAGATCTTCAGTGACTTTTGGCCTGATGTGTTAGGGTAGTTTAAAATCATCCAAAGTAGTTTGTTGACTTACAAATGCCGTTAGAGACTGACAACTAACTTTGTGTTGTCAATGAGAGTTGCGGAGTTTTTCAAGGAAATAATAAAACTAAATTTCACCTACTGAAAGTGTCTATTTGGCTTCTATTTATTTCTCTTCTCTAACCACCCGTTTTAGTTGTCATTCTTTAATGTTAATAATTACAGTAATTTATGCATTCTCTTAGCTACCAAAAAATGAGTTTAAATGAAGTTTCAGCCTTATCTAAAAACAGCTAATCATATTTTTGTGGAATAGGATCAGATGTTGAACTACCTTGAAACTACTGGTTGAAGATACCTCTGATAAAATTAATATAATCATTTTTTTTTTATTAATTACATGTTTTCATCTTTGTGAATAAAATGTTAGTATGCCTTGTAGACTCAAAAACAACCTGTAAATATCACAGTTTGTTTCTAGTATTGATGTCAGAAGGTATGAAGGCTGTTTTGAATGAAATAAAATAGGAGTGATTTTTTAGTGTTATTTTTGAAGATTGGATTTATGAACATTTTTGTAAATAGCTGTGGTGGCTCAGTAGCAGCATTCCGCAGGGTTGCTGATCAGGAGGCCCTCCTTAGTTATATTTCTCTGTTTGCGTTCTTATGGTGGTGGATTTTTATAAAGCTATGTTGAATTCAATAAGTGAAAGAGAAATCTTGTGGCTATTTGCTCTGTTTGGTAGTGATAATGAATTTAACAACTGGAGGAGAAATCTAATGGCTGGCTGCTCTGATAGGTAGTTTCTGTGATGAATACCAGATGATAGCCATATCAGTACCTCTGACAAACAAGTCACAACCTGTGCATATTATTTCCATCGTCATTTGTGGTCCTCCTTTCCTCATACATATACAGATACTTACATGCATTACACAACCACAGGAGGTTAGAACTTGCCCTGGATGGGATGGTGCCTTGCTGGGGAAGACTCCTGGAAGTTGGGAAACCCTGCAAGCGGTGTGTGTGTATTTTTTAAAAAGTTTTAATTTTTATTTTTTATTCTGTCAGTTTTCTGTTACAACATTCCTCTTTATGCCAGAGGACCACCAGGTAGCACTTCCGCTTATGCACCTCTCACATACACTCCTGCGTCACTACCCAACGGCCAGAATGGGGAAGGAATTAGGACAGTGGTTGGGTTTAGAATACTTCACAGGGATTGGACTAGTCCCTGTGAAGTAGGTAATCTCAGTTTGTTGGAAATTTCACATGAAATTGTCTAGAGAATTGAACCTGGACCTCCTTGGTGAAAGGCAAGTAACTTCGCTCTAAGCCGCGAGTGTTTCCGTTCGGCACTGGATCTCATGTTCCAGTGAGGTATCACAACTTCCTGGGATATAACATACAGCACACTTATGAGACTAGTGATCACAGTAGTAAGCCCAGAAAACATAAATAATCAATTTAGTGTTGTTGAAATGATATGTGGATTTTCAATAATGATTTTTGTAAAATTGTACCATGTTATACAGTTTGTGATGCAAGATATGTCAATACAATTATAATTCCATTTTTATTTGAATTTGATCTAGTTATAAAATTTGCAGTTCAAGGTACAACACACCAAGGAGCAAGGTACCATGTTTGTACTACATTTCATACTAACAGGAAGTCTACCCATAGGTGACGACCACTGTAAAATAATTTAATTGCTCAAAATACTAAAAATGCTTTAGAAAACCATAGTTATTTTTTCACAAAAATTAATTTCTCACAGTGTTAAAAATTTTGGAAAAGAAAAATATACTTTTTCCTGAGAGAGTGATTTTTTGTTTGTTTGTTCTTTTAACTTTAAGAGGATTGAATGTAGATGTATTAGAGTGAATAACTAAAACAAATTCTGGAATATCCAAAGATTTAAGAAAACCAGGAGCTCTGATTTTAGGCTTCAACAACTCTTTTACAGCATGTGTTAAATCTACATGATTTTGTAGTATGAATAAACAATAAATAATTAATAGTAATAATGCTGAATAGAAATGATCCACATTGTCAATTTTTTATGTACAGTTTATTAAAAAATGAATAATGTTCTACAAACACTACACTAAAATACATTGTTAATGACAACAGCACTATTATGTACTGCTAAACACATGTGATCAAGAAGCTCGCTTAATTTCCAGTTTGGCCAGCTGGACAATATACAAACATTTACAATTCCATTAAACATAAATTTTTCACTGGAGAACAGCAAATAGTGTTGTTTTCAAAATTTAAATTTCTTTGCAATCAACTGTATTCAATTAACTTAACTTCATTCAAGAGAAATACACACACACATATACCAAATTGAAAATTTAAAGCTAAGAGTGCAGGTTGTCTATAATACTCTCAATTATTCTCTCTGATTCACTTAAAGTTGTGTACAAGATATGCAACCCAGAGTATAAAATTGTAGTAGTGCCAAAATTACTTGTACATAAATGAGTTGAAAATTAAAACAATTTCCAAGGCTTTATCAACATTTTTGCTAAAAAATATATTTTCATACAACTAGAAAACAATTGTATCTGTCCACAACATTGGTAGTCAATATATTAAATATTTGTGTATAATATGTTAAATATTTTGCAATTATCTTTTTGATATTTCCACAGAATTCTCCTGTGTTTACATAAGGTAAACATCTATAGCAACGATGGTCACTTCCATTCACTGACACAGAAAGCAAAATATTCAAGTCTGTGAATTACTTAAGGGCAAACCCACAGACTCTGCCTAAGGGAACCTGATACTATGCTTGTGTACTGTTAAGTTAACTGATTTTTACTGTAATGAAAAAATTTGTTTTATTCAAGGAATAGATTACTAAATCAGTGACACAGAATTTGATCAAGAGATGTACATGTGCAATGTTTGTCTAAATAAAATTCCACTAATATTTTCATGTTTGTGATTTTGAAATTTCTTTCTGCAAATAAAAATTTGAAGCCTAATTCAGAGATTTCAGTAATACATTACAAAGTATTTCATAAAGTGTTATGGATACTTTGCAAAATGAAAGCTTTAGTAATTAAGTAAATAGGATCATATTTACAGTGTTTGAAACATTTTTGTTTCCCAGTATTTATGAGTGTTTTTGTGTGGAGAACAGTTAGTAATTGAAAGTGAGTAAATTTGACAAAATGTAAACAAAAGAGCAAAATCAAAAAAGTCATGAATTTTGATTAATTTTATTAACTTGTTATATCAAGATTTTTAAATTTCAGACATTTGCTATCTTTATTTGAGAAGATCGACTAGTACTACATTGGTTTGGTTGTGAAAATATGTTATTTTTAAAAGTAAGCCGTATGTTTTAATTATGGAATGATATTATTTTGGCAGAAGCATACAAAACTTTTCTTTCAATTGAAAGAAATCTTGAATCTCAAAGGTTGCATAGATCTATTTGAATTATTTTAAATACTTTATTTGCAATGTATAGCCTATTCATATCTTACTCAACATACAAAAATCTGGTATACTTTTCAACTACTGAAAATCAATACATTTTTACTATTGAATTCTCATCTTACTAACATTTAGTTGTGGACATTTTCAATTGTTCATTTTATAAATTCATGATTTTAACCTAATTCAGAAATAGTATCACTGGTCTGCACAAATAGTTTTGTCACTGTCTCCTACAACAACCAACATTGAGAGATCACAATACCTTATACAAGCACAAACCTTTTGTTCATTATATTACAGCTTCCAGATCTATACAAGAATTCAATAATTTGTGGAAGATTCACTTTCCTTTTGGCACAATTTTTAGTATTGCTCAAACTGTATTTGTCCTATTCAGCAAGGAAATGAGGAATATTTTCACAAATATTAAGTAACTAAATTCTGAAATATCAACAAGAAAAATAAAATGATTTTTATAAAAGTCTTTTTTGGGTAAATTAATTTATAGTTGCTGAAATCATCAAGTGATGGGGGCAATTTAATACACATTACTTAATACTTTTCAATTGCATCTTCATTGATAAAAACACTGAAAATATCGTTTTTCTTAATTTTCATTCATTTACAATTTGGAATTAATCAATATTATATTTGGAATGCATTAAAAAGATGTTGTAAACTCTTCTAGTTGCCTGATTCCTCCCACTTACCAAACTGAATGATCAAAAAGACTAATTACACATTCATTAATTTCACAATACATGGAAACAACAACTTGAAAAACACCAAGTCAAATTGAAAAATATATAGGGACGTGCCCCTAAATAAATTTGTTTTGGTAAGTTAATATATCATCTCAAACATTTTACTGTGAATACAATTATATATCACATATTTCTTATCATAGTGTCATAGTTTTGGAGATGAACAATATTTTAGTACTTTATTTCTTGACATCATTCAAATATTGACATAATGTGATGGATGGAATATTTGATGGCCGGATTAGAGTTGTTA